ACAATCGATCAAGAGGATGGACCAAGTGAACCTCGTAGAGGTAAAAGTATTAGGAAAGCAAAGTCTTATGGTCCGAACTTTCAGATGTACCTGGTGGAAGGTACTAATGAGTCAATCGTGACTCAGCTCGCTTATACGTATAATATCGAGGGAGATCCTAGGACGTATGATGAGGCGATGAGATCGCAAGATGTCACGTTCTGGAAAGAAGCGATAAATGATGAGATGGACTCTATCATGAGCAACAACATTTGGATCTTAGTAGATCCTCCTCCGGGTTGTAAACCGATTGGTTGCAAGTGGATCTTCAAGAAGAAGATGAAAGTCGATGGAACTATTGATAAGTTCAAGGCTCGTCTAGTAGCTCAGGGCTTTAGACAAAAACAAGGTATCGATTATTTCGATACATATGCACCGGTAGCTAGAATAGCTACGATAAGATTATTGATCGCTCTTGCTTCGATAAAAAATCTTGTAATTCACCAAATGGATGTCAAGACGGCATTCTTAAATGGTGATCTTGAAGAGGAGGTGTATATGAAGCAACCAGAAGGTTTCGTCTTATCGGGTCAAGCACACAAAGTGTGCAAGTTAGTCAAATCATTGTACGGGTTAAAGCAAGCACCCAAACAATGGCATCAAAAGTTTGATGAGGTGATATTGGCTAACGGGTTTCGTCTGAATCAATCAGACAAATGCGTATATAGCAAGTTTGACGAAAATGGTCATGAGGTTATTATTTGCTTATACGTGGATGACATGCTCATATTCAGTACGGAATTAGAGCAAGTCAAGAAAACAAAAGATTTCTTGTCATCGAAGTTTTCGATGAAAGATCTAGGAGAAGCGAATGTTATCCTTGGAATTAGGATAATGAGAGATCACGGTACGATTTCACTCTCTCAATCATACTACATTGAGAAAGTGTTAAAACGTTTTGATCTCTACGATAGTACTCCGGTTTCTACACCGATGGATTGTAATGCTAAATTAGTAGCAAACAAAGGAGAACCAATGTCTCAACTTGAATATGCTAGTGTCATTGGATGCTTAATGTATGCTATGACTAGCACTTGACCCGACATAGCATACGCGGTTGGTAAGTTGAGTAGGTACACTAGTAACCCAAGCGTACATCATTGGCATGCTGTACGGAGAGTATTTCGATACTTGAAACAGACCATAAATTACGGTCTTCGCTACACGGGTCAACCTTCGGTGTTAGAAGGATATACGGATGCGAGTTGGAACTCTAGTGAAGAGGATCATGCCTCGGTGAGTGGTTGGCTGTACCTACTAGGTGGAGCTGCGATTTATTGGGCCTCCAAGAAACAAACTTGCATTTCGGATTCGACGATGGCGTCAGAATTCATTGCCTTAGCTTCTGCGGGAAAAGAAGCAGAATGGCTAAGGAATCTGGTATTCGAGATACCGTTATGGCCTAAACCGGTATCGCCTATCACAATACATTGTGATAGTGCAGCAACGTTGGCTAAGGCATATAGCCATGTATATAACGGAAAGTCTAGACACATTGGTTTACGACATAGCTATGTAAACGGTCTTATAAAAGACGGGGCCATAGTGGTGGATTTTGTGCGTACGAAACAAAACTTGGCTGATGCTCTTACCAAGAGTTTGTCGAGGGACATGCTGCGCAAAATGACTATAGGGATGGGTCTTGGGCCTATTAATTAAATCACAATTAGAGGAATCTCAACTTAACGTCTAATACAACGTTAGATCTTGAGTTCAATGAGTTAAATCCTCTAATATGTGGTTGTAGATGTTTAGAAGTAAATCATCCTGAGGTAAGCATCTTGGTTTGCAACGTAAAGAGGTTGTTTTATACTTAATGAATTCTTTGACAAAGTGCTTTGTTGCAGAGCACGATTTGAAAGAATTCACCTATGCGAGCATGAAGTGTGGCCGCTTCAAGATGTTGGTGGCTCGATATCTATGTGCTTGTGAAGGGGATATGGACACATGGCCAATATAGTGTCAAGATATACAGGGAAATGTATTGATTCTGTGTGTGTGTATACATGGTAGCTCAACTAGGATTACGTAGGTTCAATCGTTAGCGACACCTACGGAATTCGAGTCTATTGTTGTATATTACACTAAGTGGAAGTTCAATCGTAAAGACACTTTCATTTATGCGCAGAATTGTGAAGATGAATGATTAATTGCTTGATTGTCCATTGCTTATTTTACTCTAAAAATGGTGGAGGATTGTTGGTATTTTTAGAGTAAATGAATGGGGTTTAATATTAATCTCTCAAGAGATTCATAGTTATATGTATTACGGATATGGTGGAGGAGTTAAATATTCGTAAATGATATAATATGGATCGGTGAAACACATATGTGTTTGGCAGTAAAGTTGTTCGGTTTGTGAGTGAGGTATACCTCAACTCGGGTGAAGTAGAACTCAGTCTTTATGACGAAAACGAAATTTTCTTTACAGAAATGTAACTCGGTCCGTGTTAGATTTAACTCGGACCATGTTGATTGTCTGAGAAAAGACTCGTTTTGCACAGAAATTTGACACGGCCCGTGTCAGGTGGAACTCGATCTGAGTCAAAAGTCTGTGAGAAGTACTTCATGTTGTGTCAAGTGTAACTCGGAACATGACAGTTATATACGAACTGATGCGATTCTTCGCGTAATAACTGCAGATTTTGCAACTTTTGGTGATGATCTTTGGTGTTTATATACTAAAGATGTCAGAATAAGTTGGGTACGATATTGATTTCATTTTTGAGAGATTTTGAGAGCACTTTCGGAAGTTTCTTGCAAAAACTCTCCCGAAAGCTTTCGTTCATCTTCTTCTTCACGTTTCCTTGTCTGTGCGTTCTTGAACGAGCAATTCTAGAACGTATTTCTCTTCATTGTATTTCAGAATCGTATTCCGGTAGTCCTTGCTCATAACGGACGGAATAACGGTTTTAGGAAAGTGTCTACACGCCTTGAAGAGATATCCGGTCCCTCGGTTCGATTTCATTCTCATTTTTCCGTTGATTTCCTCCAGATTTCTAACATGCGTCATATATATATATATATATATATATATCTCGCGATCCGAGGGCATGGAAAAAAAAGAAGGAAAAATTAGTTTCTTTGGGCTTGGACCGAAGAATTTCGATGATTTCGAGTCGAATCGAAATCAATTACAAAGATCGATCGGACCAAACATTAAATACGATGATTATATTCACGATCAATATCTAATAACAATCGATGATTCTACTAAAATTCGATTAATTACTAAGAGATAGATATTATTACTAAAATCACTACTATGAACAAACAAACATTTCAATATTGTTGTCAACTTTTTATTTCTCTAAATACATACGATGTTATATTATCGTGTACAAACAAAAAGTACATACGGGCTGTGTGGTGGGCCATATGGGCCCACGAGATGGAATAAAATAAGGCCCATTAAGTCATTTATTTTTAAATTTTAATAAATGTGAATATTCGTATGGTGGGCCCCACTGCTTAACAAATCCATGCTGGCCGAGACGCCAATCTATATATTCTGTGTTCTGCAGAAGGAAACTCGTGTCTATCGGATATTCTCCCGGGAAAGGAAAAAAATCTTACCAATCCAACCAAAATCCCTATTTTTTTTTCTGTTATTCGAAGAGAAGATGACTGGTGAGAAGTCGGATTCTGATCATTCTTCTACAGGTAATGTTTTCAATTTCTCGTTTTAGCGCCTGATCACATGTTAATCGATGCGATTGTCTCGTTTTAGCGCCTGATCCCATTTACAGTGGTTTGATCCGAAACTGGCCGATTTTTTTCCGATTCAACGAATTGAGAATTCGGTATTTGGCACGGCGAGAGTTGGGATTTGATAGTTTGATGCTTAGTTGTTTGGATGGAGAGAAGAAGGTGAATGAAGAGAATGATATAAACAATTGAACAAATCGTTTGATCTTATCGAATTCGTCTGTAATTTTCAACGGATTGATTAGATATGTGCAGAAGCCCTTTGTCTGTTCAAGTATCCTTATTAATTTTGTCGGGTTTGGAATCGGATAGTCGTTTACCGTGGCGAATGAACGATCAAATCTTGTAGGATTCCAGTTTCTGGGTAGTGATTTATCGTGGCAAATGAACAGTCACATCTTGATGATTCAGTTTTATGTTACATCTGTTCATCGGAAACTATAGCATCTGAAGAATTAGAAGATCAATAGTCTCGTTTTGTCTTTCCAGCAACTAGTTGAAAGCTGCATGTTCTGTTCTAAGAATTTAGAGATATAATCCTATGGTGGTCATGTGAATAAAACGGATTATTGTGTCGAGTAAAGGTGTAAAACAACAAAAGAATAATCATCACGAGGAAACTCACGAATCCATGCGTCGGGACATTGATGAGAACACAACGTTGGGTGATGTCAAAGCACCCAATGTGTTCGAACGAGCCAAAGAGGAGATCGAGGCTGTTATCGGGGCCATTCATCAACACAAGAGGTTTTTATTTTATTGTTGTCAACTTTGATCTTCTTCCAAAGCGACCTCTGTGCTTGCGTGATGATGATTTTGCTTGCTTTGACATGATGTTGCAGGGCCGAGTCTGATAAATCCAAATCTGAATCCAAATCCGAGGAGCCAGGTTCAGGTTCGTTATTGTTCCTAATTTACATCATTACATGCTGAATTAGTTTGGGAATTATTGTGTTCTGGTTTCGGTGGAATAAACTCACTGGTAGTGTAAATCTTGATATTGAACAGAACACGGTTTATGTTTAAGCTTGAATACAAATATGAATAGCATTTTACTTTGTTGGTTGGCAGAGAACAACGGAATGAAGAAACCGAACCTGATCGATTCCCTGTTCCACCCGCACAAGGAGAAACCTAATTCTCATCGACATGTTCATCATCACAAGGAAACTCATGGAAGGAGCGACGATATCGACGAGAACACGCCAGTGGATGAAGTGAAAGGTCCAAACGTTTTCGAGAGAGCCAAGGAGGAAATCGAGGCCATAGTGGATGTGATCCGGCCGAAGAAGGAGAAAGAATCAGGCGGTTCTCGGTCTTCCTCTCCGGAAAAGGAAAGAGCTGGATTCGGATGCTCCCTCGGTAAAGGCTTACAAAAAATTTGCCATCCTTGGGGTGATGGTAAGAAGGATTGAATATATATGTATATATATATTCGTCCATGGTGATGAAGAACAATGAATTTGATCCAAAAGTGTAAATGACTCTTTGTTGTATCATACTGTTTTCAAGGAGATTCATGGAATGTTCATTTAAAAGTTCATCCATTATCTTCTTGGTTCCTCCGACTTCTGTTTTCCTCTGTCGTCACATTTTCTTTGTTTCGATACCATTTTTGGTTCAAGTTTATGTTCACATGCAGCAGAGCTTCTCCTCGTATCTGAGGGTTTGCAGCGGCAGAGCTTCTCCTCGTATTAGAGGGTTTGCAGCGGCAGAGCTTCTCTTGGTATTAGAAGGTTCAACGGCGTCGTCAAAGGCCACGAAGGCTGAAAAAAATTAAAAAAAAAAATGAAACGCGTCTATATAAACGGCGTCGTATGGGACTAGAATCCAAAAACCCCTGAGCCCTAATCCATCGATCGAAGTGATTCAAGTTCTCTCTTCCGTGTACAAAAATCGGATCAGCTCGAACCTTTCATCTCCGTTAGATTCGTAGAAGAGGGGGACGAAAATGGTGGTTCGGATCCGATTATCGAGATTCGGGTGCAGGAATCGGCCATTCTTTCGTGTCATGGCCGCTGACAGCAGATCGCCGAGAGATGGGAAACACCTCGAGGTCTTAGGGTATTTCAACCCTTTGCCAGGTAATGCAGGCACTCATGTATCGTGTGTATATATGTACTGTGTCCACGCCTCTTGGTATTAGTTCGGTCTTTCTCTTGGTGGGTTCTCACTCGATTTCGGTATTTGGATGTGAACAGGGCAGGACGGTGGAAAGAGAATGGGCCTGAAATTCGATCGGATTAAGTAAGTTTAGTTTCCTGAATATGTGGATTGCTATTATAGATTATTAGATTTGGCGATAGATCGGTAGCTTTTGGGTTGAATTCGTAAGAAACGTCTCTGAATCCACTCGCAAAGTTGTTTATTTCCGGAATTCGTAGTGCTAGATGATTTAGGATACTGTTACACTGAAGCTTTTGAGCTTTGTTAGTAACGTGTTTCTTCGAGCTGGGCAATGCTATGCATTTTGAACTCTTCTCTCTTTGGAATGTTTGCTTCTTCAGTTTATGTTGGAATATGAGTTGCTCCTGTTCTGGGCACTGATGTTTTGGTTTTTGCGTGGTTCCATTCTATGGAGATAATGCTCTAGCCATTGATCAGCTAGCTGCCCTTGGAAAATGGTTTATCTCAGCTGGACTATCAGTTGTTCATTTGTCATAGTCTACGGTGATATGACACCAAGTAAGGTGTCGGTCCTCCTGCAAGAGCTGTTTCGTTCTATTAGTGCCGTCTTTACCTGGTTTCTCTGTCCAAAGTTGAGAATATACCGTCTGAATGGTCGTTTTTGATCTTATCATGATTCGTTACAGAGTAGTTTCTTCCTAGTCGTGCGGACACATTTAGTAATTCTTCAGCTGGACTTAGAGTAGAGTAAGCCAGCAAGTAGTAGAAGTCTTGAGTCCGCCCATGTTGGGTAAAAGTGTAAACCTATAGCTGCAGACATCCTGAATTTCAGTCAACCGCTGATTTAGGAAGGAAACCCACCTTCAAAGTTCAAAGCTCGACATACTTCTCTTCTGTGTGATGGTGAATATTACAAAAAGGGGGTAATTTTAGGACAGTAATGCCTCATAGGATTAAGAAATGGCTTCTCTCTTGTGGTGCAGGTACTGGTTATCTGTTGGAGCTCAACCATCAGAGCCTGTCCAACGGCTTTTATTCAGGGCAGGGGTACTACCGCCACCTCCAATGGTGGCAATGGGACGTAAAGGCGGGCCACGAGACACTCGCCCCATTGACCCGATGACAGGTCGTTTCTTGGATTCAGAGAAACCCACAACCGATACCCAGTCTAAAGATGATGATGATGATGATGATGCCTCATAGTTTCTTCTAAGGTCCTGGTCTCACAGTTTTAGTGTAAGCTTGCCAGTTGGATCCATCTCCATGAGTGAGGACATAACATTGGTAATGAAGAAGAAGCTCCTATCTGGGGAATGGATTAGGAAATGCTTGGTGGTTCTTTCTACCTGCCGGTTCTTGGCAATATATATATATATATATAATTTGATGTTTTAAAGAGAGCTAAGGTGTTTGGATTTTTCTTGGGCAAATAATATAATTATGATGGGATATTATAAACGAATATCGAATTATTTGCTATTCTTTTATTCTGAATTCAGAAATTTCATATTTAGAGGGGAAATGGAATTTAATCATAGGGTGTATCCATGCATTTATTTACATAACATGTTATAAGTACCGTCTCAAAATGTAGTGATATTTCAGTTATCATTGATTAAAAAGAAAGGTACTGCCACCGAGGGGAATTTTAAAACAGGCGGTTGTTAGGTTTTCGATTTAAAGGAAGCCACGTCTCTCTCTCCCCTCTCTCTCCCCTAGTCGCCTCCCAAAAACCCTCTCGTCTCCTCTCACATCTCTCCGTCCTTCAACACCGCCCTTCTGATATCTTCTTCCTTTCATCGGTCCTCAGAGAATGAGCAACGACAAGGACAACTTCAGTGTCGCCGATATCACCGCCGGTAAAGTTTCCAATGTTTCCATCTTTCTCTGCTTGCTCCATTTTCTCCGTTTAGTTTTTCGTATTGGGTCTTGAGTGTTGACTGTGATTTGAATTTGTCCGCAGCTCTTAAAGATGAGGATCGAGCAGGTCTTGTGAATGCTCTCAAGGTGAATCATTCCCTATTATTTGACTGATTTGCCCGTAAACATTTCAATTGTGCTTTTAATTTTGCATTCGGTTTGGCCTTTGTTCATAGCATTATGCGTGTTCTGGTTTCAATCGCTTTCGTCTTCAACTAATAGCATGTAGTTTATGGTTTCCCTGGGCAATGCCGTGGAGTGTGAGCCCGTGACCTGTTTATATGTTAATCGCAGAACAAGTTGCAGGATCTGGCTGGGCAGCATTCGGATTTGCTCGAGAATCTGCCTCCTAAAGTGAGAAGACGTGTTGATGTTCTAAGGGAGATACAGGTTAGTAGTAGGGAGACTTTGTTTCACACTTTGTTTGATTAGAGGTTATTTCTGTATATTTCTTGTATCCGGTGTGGCCTGGTTTGAGTTGATTTGGTATCTTTTAGATCTGATTTTCAATGCTTTGCACCCTTTACACGTTTTATTGCATGGATGCGAGTACTTGAATTTTTATAGGCAACCCTTTTGAATTTATGGGATAATTCTCCTAGGGAAGCCGACATGATGAGTGCCTAGTATTGGACATTAGTTCAAGTTTAGTCTTTTCTCTTTGCAGGGCCAACATGATGAACTAGAGGCCAAATTCCGCGAGGAGAGAGCTGCCCTAGAAGCCAAGTATCAAAAGTTGTACCAGCCTTTGTATTCAAAGGTAACTAGTAGCTTGAGACCAGGTTATATTACATTTACATCGGTCCTACAAGTCATTAGTTCTTGATATGCTTTATGTATGCTATAGAACTATTCTTGTTGTTCCAATTACAATGCGACATTGTTTCTATATCTTGCTTGTTTCCATGTATTTGAGCTGAGTTGGCTATACATTTTTTCAAGTATTGTCTTGTAATTTACTTGATGACACCCTGGTTTTCACAGCGTTATGAGATTGTAAATGGAGTAATTGAAGTTGAGGGAGCTCCAGAGGACGTGAAGATGGACCAAGGGGAGGAAAAGGCTGCGGAAGGTAAGTAAATCACACGGCCTTCTCTGTTTGGTTTTAATCTTTCTTGAAATAATGCTTTCAGCTTGTTCCACTGCTATATTTTACAGAGAAAGGAGTCCCAAATTTCTGGTTGACTGCCCTGAAAAATAACGACGTTATTTCAGAGGAGGTTAGATATGTAATTTAAGTTTTTTTTTAATAATGGAGCGATTATAGGGGTCACATGGAAAAAGGCCACAATTTTACTTTCCTTGATAACAGATCACCGAGCGTGATGAAGGGGCTCTCAAATATCTCAAAGATATTAAGTGGTGCAGAATTGAAGAACCCAAGGGATTCAAACTTGAGTTTTTCTTTGACCCAAATCCATACTTCAAAAACACTGTTTTGACAAAGGCATACCATATGATTGATGAAGATGAACCTCTCCTCGAGAAGGCTACTGGGTAACTGATGAAGCTGTCCTGTGAATGTTGAATAAACTGCAGAATATTTCAACACTAATCTCATTGTTGCCCTTCCTTTCAGGACAGAGATTGATTGGTATCCTGGCAAATGCTTAACTCATAAGATTCTTAAGAAGAAGCCTAAGAAAGGTGCAAAGAATTCAAAGCCAATCACTAAAACTGAAGATTGTGAAAGCTTCTTCAACTTCTTCAACCCTCCCCAAGTTCCTGTGGAGGATGAAGACATCGATGAGGACAGGGTATGGCATAATTTGGTCTCATAGAACTAATTATTCCAATTATATATATAGCTTAACTATGCAATTTTGCTCCCTTCTTTGCTGCAGGCCGAAGAACTTCAAAATCTGATGGAACAAGATTATGACATTGGGTTTGTCTTCTTTGAATATACTCGTTTGTTGAGTTTTTATTGGTTTGCTTATTGATTCATGGGTTCTTTTAACCAATTGCATATAAAATTTGAGTTCTCCAAACCTCTATATAGTTATATTTTCGTAAAATTTGATCATAGGATCCTTTTCTCTCTGCAGATCTACAATCCGGGACAAGATTATCCCCCATGCCATCTCATGGTTTACTGGTGAGGCTATTCAGGGAGAGGAGTTTGAAATAGATGATGATGAAGATGAGGATATTGACGAGGATGATGATGAGGACGAGGAGGAAGAAGAAGAGGAAGATGAGGATGAGGAGGAGGAGGAGGAAGAAACCAAGAGGACAAGGAAGGTAAAGGGTGCCCTAAGTCTATGCTTTAGTTTATTTTCTTCCTGCCATGCTCTGGTTCTTTTTCGTTATAGTTTTTATAATATTCCAAATTTCCAACCCACAAACACTGAAATTGGTTTATATCTTTTTTGCAGCCGTCAGTTGGACACAAGGTACGCAACTAACTTTTCACTCTTAGTATTATTATCTCCTTGACTTAGGCCTAAAATACTTGTGAGTTACATTAGTTAAAAGTTTTTGCAAATGGTACAACCAGTCATACATTTAAGAGACTGACACAAGAAATTTTAGCTCGAGTATGATCTCGAAACCCCTAAAAAACATGCCTTTGTGGGGTATAGAACCAACAGAGCCATAGATTCTTGAATCTTAAAGTGAAAAACAAATTGAATCATAAGTAGTCTGTCAGCCTAAGGTCGAAACAGTAAATAGCAGACTTGTGATTTGGCCTCCTAACAACATATATGGAGTATAAGGCAACTCTTTATGGAATTATTATGATGGGAATCTATATGAATCTACCGAATTAGACTAAGCATATCATAAAGATCAAAACCTATGTTTATGATCATATTGAAATTCTGTTTTTTTTTTTGGGGGGATGGAATGCAGATTGTAGGGAAACCTCAACTGGGTGATGGTCAGCAGGGCGAGAGACCTCCTGAATGCAAGCAGCAGTAATAGGTTTGCAGTGAAAATATATTCCAAAGTCGGTTCTTTGGAAAGGTATGGGTGAGTGTGGCAGTTTTGGTTATTTGATCACTTATTTGCTCTCTTTATATAATGTCAGTAGTGTTTCTTGGGGGCCTTTTCCTTTGTTTTTTTTTTTTGAATTTTTTACAGTGAGTAAATCTGGTGTTTTATTCAATTCATATATAAAGTTTGTAAAATGTTTGTTTTCTGAATTATATATATATACACACGCACACACACTCACTCGAAGGCCGTTGGTTGAGATCTTTTCACATGGTTTTCAGTGGAAGTCATTGCGTACACTACTACTATATATGTATGCATGTACGTATATATGTGCGTGTGTATATATATATATGTCACGTAGAGAGAGAGAGAGAGAGAGAGAGAGAGAGAGAGAGAGAAGCCTAATGTCAGTGTCTCCGACAAAATCCGAAACTCGAATCTGGTCTGTGTCCCATCACGCTCCTTTAGTCAGATCAAGATCCACTGCTTTCCTCTCCGTCCATATTAATGAACGGACGGTCCCGTCGTATATGCGACCGAGTGCCACCTTCTTTTGTTTTTTTTGTCGGTGCGCTGAAGGAATCTTCCTTAATCACACCTCTTTAACCCGTTTTTGGCTGATTAGGGTTTTGGACATCAAATCCTCTTGCCTCTTTTAGCACTTTTTGGCAGTTTCTTTCTTCTTGCAAATTCTCATCTGCTATTGGTTGGCCCAAGTTCATGATTCTTTCTTTTTTTTTGTCTTTGTTGTGCTATCCAAGCTTAAAATGAAAATGGGTACAGCTTGAACTTGAAGTCTAATTCTCTTTTTTTTTTTTCATATATATTATGATGACTTTATTATCGCTCACACCCCATTCGTATAAAGTTGACTGTTTTACCTAATTTTTTGGTATCATTGCAACCCCTCCCCCATTTTCGGCTTCTATACAATTCATTTTCGAACGTATTGATCATATATGAAAGGGGGATTCTTTATTAAATTTTTTTTATAATTTAAAAGTTTACTTGATATTCGGTTGAACTAAATCTTCTAAAACATTATAGAAATTGATGTGAATGCTTCACTCGAATCTTCAATCTTCGTTGTTTATTGTGAAAAATTGTATTGAGATAAATTTTCAATATTTAATCTTTTTTTTTTCAATTCTAAAACTGATCATATGATGAATCTTCTTATAATCAAACTATAAATATGACATTTTTACTTGAAATTCTTCTTCTTATGTGACTACTCCCCTTTTTCATGATCCCTGTATGTGTATGACAGTCCCTTGAAATTAAATATTATGCTTCAAAAGTTGGAGAATTTTTATAATTTAATATCTGTCATTATGCACATGATTCAAACTTTGATGTCTATAACGAAAAGGAATTATTTTTTTGTCACAAAAAAAAAGAAAACGAAAAAGATCAAGTTCAACTCCAAGTAGATAGAAGGAGATGAAAAAAAATGATATTTTTCTGGCTATGGTTCGAAACCCACTAGTTTTAAGACCATTTTCCTCCATTGACAGTACCCCACTACCTTTAAAAGCCTACCTTTCTTTCTCCTAAACTAATCTCTCTCTCTCTCTCTCCCTGAAGAGAGATTTGAGAGCTTTTAAGAGAGAAAAGAGAAACGGTTCTCGTTTAAACATGGTGATCACAGGTTAATTGCAGAGCTTAAATTCTCCGGGCTTTGATTTCTACCCTTCTCTCTCTTCCACCAAAAACTCGTTTCTGTGCTTTTTGGCCATTAAGTTTCGTAATCCTTGTTTGCTTCCTTCTCACTGTTCCTGTCCCCTTTCTTCTTCTTGCTTTTGAAGCCATTCCTCTCCATCTCCCACTTCGACTTCTCGGTTCCAGCTTAGGACTGAAGCCTGCTCGTCAGTTTTTATTACTGGGTTTCGCTTTTCTCCTCACCCGAGAAAGCTGATTTCTCCGATTTTTCTTTCTTTTTTTGGGTTCTGGTTCATGGAATGAAGATGTTGATTATCCTCCTGAGGATCTGTCTGGTTTCGTCGATTTTAGTTGTTCGTTCTTCCTCAGGTAATTTGATCTTTCCCGTTTTGCCCCCAAAAAAGCAAGCTTTGTCACTGTCTGAATGTTTAGGATCGGACCCAGATTTTCTAAAATCCGCAATCTTTTCGACTTTTAGATGCTTATTTCATAATTTTTCTTTTCTGGGTTCTGTCGTTTTAGCAATGAGCTCTACTCCATTAGTGAATGTTCTTGGAGCTTAAATCCAGATCCAATGCGGGAAAAAAGTGCGAACTTTTACTTAGTCAAATGCATAGATTAGTCAAAGAATTTGGGATATGGATTATTGTTTACTGGAATTTGGGATTATGGATTTTGATTCATGAATGTTGATCCAATTGAATCACCTGTTTGTGCACTCGGTTTTACTCGTCTATTGAACTCAAATTCGAGGTTTCAAAGCTCTTTGATTCGGTCACCATCCATGATTCGTCAAGTGGTAACATTGCTTGAGCTGAAGATTCTCCTGGTTTGTCTGAACATAACTCAGGATTGGATTCCTTCTCTCCGATTTCATCACCACCGTCTCCATTGCCGGAAATTGCAAAAGGGTTTGGTCCAGTAACGAGTGATCCGGCTGAATCCCCGAAATCCGGCAATGTTCCTCCATTACCAGCGGCTCCACCGCCTTCAGATATCGAAGGAAACGTCTCTCTGCCGCCTAGACCTAGCGGTTCATTGGAAAGGTATGGGTGAGTGTTTCAGGCGAGAAGACACCGGTGGGCGAGCCTGTTGTCTCAGTTCCAGATTCTCCAGGTATATATATGTATATGTATATGTATATGTATATGGTCACTGATCAAATGTGAATGTAGTTACGTTGTGGTATATTGATGTGTGATTTGTTATGCAGCAACTCCTGTGAAGGATTTGCCCACGAACCCACCCGGGGTTCAGCCAGGTGTACCGATTGCTTCGCCTCCTGAGTTTATTCCAAGAAATCCACCGAAAAATCATCCAATCTCAGGAGAGATTGCACCAGGTAACACCTAGGGTTTATGTTGAAAAACCTTGTAAAAGCTCTTGTATGCTGTAAAGAATCAATCTTTAGGTTGTGTGCGCTCTAATTTGCAGCCCCGGTTTCCACCCCCTCGGCAGATATCCCACCATTGCCACCAATGGCCGTGCCACCTCCGCCATTGCCACCATTGACCTTGACGCCTCCATCATTGCCACCATTGGCCATGCCTCCTCCGCCATTGCCACCATTGGCCATGCCTCCACCATTGCCACCATTGGCCATGCCTCCTCCGCCATTGCCACCATTGGCCATGCCTCCACCATTGCCACCATTGGCCATGCCTCCACCATTGCCACCATTGGCCATGGCTCCTCCACCATTGCCACCAATGGCCATGCCGCCTCGGACATTGCCACCGGTAGCCATGCCGCCTACACGAAGTAGTGTGCCTCCTAGAAATTCGTCGAACAACCACAAGCCTCCTATAGAAGAGCCTGTTGCTCCCGGTATAACATTTACCTTTCTTCTCTTCGATAGATAGATTTCCAGTGTTTGATCTTGAGATTTGGCTTTCCATATTTCTGAAACAGTCTCATCTCCGCCAAAGATATCGATTAAAACCCCTCCTCCAGCCGCCCACGCTGTTATCCCGGGATTAACACCCTCCATTTCACCAGGTAAACCGTCTGTATAACTTTCCACATTTTTGCGAAAATACCCGCTTATGCTTTCTCTCAATCTTTTGCAGTACCCACCTCATCACCAACAAAGGGATCTTCGAAAATTCCCCCGGCAATTCTCCCAGTCTTTCCCAGAGAATCTCCCTCTGTCTCACCAGGTTTCCACTCCTTACTGATGGTTTCTTCTGCAGTGAAAATCTATTAAGTTTGTATGTAATGAAATCTCTGTTTCATACTTATATGTAGATCATGCTCCTCCTCCTGTAAACGGTCCACCATCCAGTGAAATCGGAAAGGATGACGGAAGCCCGGTTGCAGCGCCCCCAAATGAAGTTTCCAAACCCTTGCCAGCCGTACCACATCAAGGTATTTATCATATTACGGATAACATATGAGTGATATTGTTGTAACTTCCTCATCGTTACCATTTAAATTCGTGGTATTTGCATGCAGTTTCTTCTCCTTCCATATCTCCGTCGACCCTAAAGTCAGGGAGGCACTCTCGTCATAATGGTCCATCAGATTCTCGTCCGAGTAATGTACATTCTCCGGGATCATCCCCTCTACCTTCATTTCCTCGGCATCAACAAGACAGAAAGAATATCACTACTCCGAAACATAGAGGTTTGAGCCTTTTTATAACTTTCAAAACATTCGATGAGCTTTCATTGTTTTCGTGTTGAACTGATGCTTTTTTTTGTATGATTTTTGTTATAGGTTCCATGGTTCCTCCTCCATCAATGAACTATGCTCCTTCACCCCTCATTCCCGGTTCTTTGATTTCTCCTTCTCACTCTCCCGTTTCTTCATCGATGCACCGTGTCTCGCCTGCTCCATCACCTACTCCCACGCAAGGTTTCATTACTGATTCCGTGTCTGCTTTTTGCAATATGCCAGATAATGTTTCTAGATCTCGTTTTCGATACCCATTTTGACAAAAAAAAAAACATCTCAGTGTCCTAAATTCCTCTTCTTTTTTTTTTTGCATTTCTCCTAAAGCTTTTCCTTTCAGATCCTCATCAAGGCCTCCAAAGATCCCACTCGGTTCACCTCTCCAAGCATTTCCTCCTCCTCCTCCTAATGCAGGTTTAGAGTCGCTTATTCTACGTGTTTTTAGGCTAAGATAAGACTTTCTTATTCTACGCTCTTCGGAAAGTGTAAAAACTGTTTTTCAACTGTACCTACCTGCAGATTGCAAGTCAACTATTTGTGTGGAACCGTATACAAATACGCCTCCAGGATCTCCTTGTGGTTGTGTGTGGCCTATGCAAGTTGGATTGCGTCTCAACGTCCCACTTTATACGTTTTTCCCACTGGTTTCGGAATTTGCACGAGAAGTTGCCACCGGGGTTTTCATGAAGCAGAGTCAAGTTCGTATCATGGGGGCTAATGCGGCTAGTGAGCAACCCGACAAGTCCATTGTTCTCATTGATTTGGTCCCCCTCGGAGAAAAGTTCGATAATACAACATCGATGCTCACTTACCAGAGATTCTTTAGCAAGAAAGTCTATATAGATTCGTCACTCTTTGGCGACTATGACGTTCTTTACGTGCGTTATCCAGGTATAATACTCTCTCGGTTATTTGGTCCGCCTCTCTCGTATTTTTAGCAATGTGCTAAAAAAATGTTTCCGTCTTTACAACAGGTTTACCTGCATCTCCACCGTTGGATGTTATAGATGAAGGGCCGTTTTCGGGTAATGGAGGAAAGGGAAGGATAAATAAGCCCCTCGGGGTCGATGTTCCAAAGAAGCTGCGTAATAAAGGACTCAGCGGTGGAACCATTGCTGTTATTGTTCTATCGGCCTCTGCTTTGATCGGTTTGTGTTTTGCCATCATTTCCGTCTTTCTGTTCAAACGAAGAGATCACCCTTTGGAAAGTGTGCCGCTTTCCCGGCCTTCATTACCTTCTCTCTCAAAACCATCAGGTGAACAGATTATCGGACATTACTACGAGCTGACGGTTTGAAGAGTTGGAAAATTTAACGTTTGTGGTTTTCAGGTTCTGCAAGATCTCTAACTGGAAGCCGTCTCAGCTCCACTTCATTGTCTTTTGAGTCAAGTATTGCTCCATTCACTCTCTCCGCGAAGACGTTTTCTGCGAGTGAACTAGCGAAAGCTACAAATAACTTTGATGGGTCTCGGGTTCTCGGGGAAGGAGGTTTCGGGCGTGTGTATAGCGGAGTTCTCGAGGACGGAATGGAAGTAGCGGTCAAGGTTCTGAAGAGGGATGACCAGCAAGGCAGCCGGGAATTCTTGGCTGAAGTGGAGATGCTTAGCCGGCTTCATCACAGATACCTCGTAAATTTGATTGGTATATGTACGGAGGAACGTAACCGTTGCTTGGTCTACGAACTCATTCCGAACGGCAGTGTGGAATCACATCTGCACGGTATCATAGCTGTTCTCGCTGTTGATTTTTTGATGGATAATCTGAAGTTTCGGACTTGATCTACTCAAAAAGCATAAAGAAATGGCGTTCATTATTTTTTTCTTTTTCGTACTAGGTGTTGATAAGGAGGCTTCTCCTCTCGATTGGGAGGCTCGGTTGAGGATAGCGCTAGGTTCAGCTCGCGGTCTAGCATATCTGCACGAAGACTCGAGCCCGCGGGTTATACACCGGGATTTCAAAGCAAGCAACATCTTGCTGGAACGTGATTTCACGCCCAAAGTCTCGGACTTTGGCTTGGCTCGAGCCGCATTGGATGAAGAAAACAGACATATATCGACCCGGGTCATGGGAACTTTCGGGTTCGGAATCGAAGCTCTTAACCCGTATCGAATTTCTTTCGACATCATCGTCAAAACTGACTCTTTTTGTTTGTCAATTCTGATCTGAATCTAGGTATGTAGCGCCAGAATATGCGATGACCGGGCATCTTTTGGTGAAGAGCGATGTCTACAGCTATGGAGTTGTCCTTCTGGAGCTCCTCACGGGTCGAAAGCCAGTGGACATGTCTCAGCCGGCAGGACAAGAGAACCTAGTGGCTTGGTCCCGACCTCTCCTCACGAGCCGGGAAGGGCTCGAAGCCATCATAGACCCTTCTTTAGGACCCGGTGTCCCGTTCGAAAGCGTGGCCAAAGTCGCAGCCATCGCCTCAATGTGCGTTCAACCAGAAGTCTCACATCGTCCGTTCATGGGCGAGGTGGTCCAAGCCCTGAAACTTGTCTGCAACGAATGCGACGAAGCCAAGGAGCTGAACTCTGTAACTTCGGCTACACAAGAACAATCTTTCGACGCTCGGGTCGAGAGCTCAAGCTCAGGAAGGATGGCAATGTACCCGTTATTACCGAACTACGAGTCGGAGCCTGACACGGAGAGGGGACTGTCTGTTTCGGAGATGTTCACTGGTTCGGGGACGTTAGAGAGAGAGACAATGGCAGGTTCGTTTAGAAGACATTCGAGTTCTGGTCCATTGACGACAGGTCGAGGGAAGAAGTTCTGGCAGAGAATAAGGAGACTGTCCACTGGAAGCTTGAGCGAACACGGGTCTTAAAAAAACATGTGTTAGGGATTGAACGGAAACAGAGATTCTCAATTTGAACATATTATGTTTAAAAAGAAATTCCAGTAACGATTTTTTCCAGGTGTATAGACTACTCGGCAATCTGATTGACTCGTCAGAAAAAGAACAAGCTCCAGTGTCCGAACATGGCGATGAACTGCAATTCCAACCCTTGTACCAATATCTACGGGAGCACAAGTTGAATCAAATTGCAAACGGAAACACCTATGAACAATCTCTGATAACTTTGCGCGCTCAGCGTTGTGAGTGTCGCAATCAATGTCAATTTTCGACACCATAGACATCCATCTTTTGGACAGAACACTCGAGGCCACGACATCTTTTGTTGGAATGAACGAAAGGATCCGCAGCTGCAATTCGTCAGGCAAGGAACTGATCTTATCCATTTGTCCCTCGAACTTCTCGAGCTTTTCCTTGGAATTCTGAAGCTTTCAGCCGCTGGATTCACTGTGAATACCAGAAAACCAGAATCAAAGACCGAAAGATGAAACCCTAGAGCAATTCCATCAAGAAAGGAAACCCCAGAACACAATTCACAGAACGAAGCAGAGAGCACAAAGATAGGCAGAAAGCTTACTCAGGTTGCGATGTCGTCGTTGAAGACGAGCTCGTGTGAATGGAACTTGCGATTGCTAGGGATTTCGTATGATTCCGAATCCTAATCGAAAAGGGCTAACCCCCACACATACACTTCTGCCGTCTGGGAGCCTCGTCAAGAAAATGCTGCGTCTTGCCACCGTTTCCGTTATTCAAAGACGTCATTAAATATTTTTTTTAAAATAATGATAAATAATAATATATGCACATACATAGGGTTGGACGTTTCGGGAAACGGTTCGGGTTCGAGACGGAATTAATCGGTTCGGTTCTTTCGGTTTTATAAAAATAGGTACCAATCGGATTTTTTATTGTATTCGGTTCGGTTCGGTTTCGGTATCGGTTCGGTTCGGTTCCGAATTTTATTAAAAAAATGATAGATTTCCTTTAAAAATATTCAGTTTTTCGGGATTTTTAAAGTTCGGTTCGGTTCGGTTCGGTTCCGGGAAAATTCGATTCTCTAAAAATGGTACCGTTCGGGAAATAACAACAGTTTCGGGTCGGAAAAAATACCGTTTTAACGCCCAGCCCTACACATACATACATATGTATATGTATTATAAAATTTTATTTATATTTATAATTAGTTTTAAAAAAAATATTTAATGACGTATTTGAATAAGTATGTGTATATATGTAATTATGTATTATAAATTTTATTTCTTTTTTTATTATTTATTATTAACTTTGAGCAGAAACAACTTTAGATATTTTAAATTGTCTTACAATTGGTTAATATGGTATCGTTTACTCTTTAATCAATTCCTATAATGCCAATTGATTGAGATGGGAATCCATGAATCTTATCAGATAAGCTTCCACTGTTCCAACGGTAACTTTAAGATTTTTTTTTTGGTTAAACGGGTAACTAAGATTTTCGCCTCAGAGAGCTTTCTCGTCTCTAATAAACATCGTTTTCTCGGCAGATTTTCTTCCTCTTTGATCAAAAAGAAAGAAAGAAAAAGTCTTTAACGGTCATATATTCTCTGGTCTCTTCGAACCCTAATGGTAAATGGAGTTCGGCGACGGCTTTCCCTTCGCCGTCGTCGACGCCATGTTCAAGAGAGAGGACTACAAGCAGACCAAGCACGACCCTATCTTCACCAAGTGGCAGGTCCTCTCCCGAGATTTCCCTTCTCTTATCTCCTCAGATCCCGAGCAATTTGTGTTTTTGAGATTAGGGTTTGATCGTATCTGTGTTTTCGCTGAAACCCATTTTGGAAATTTGCAGAATTTCTGTTGATTTAGGGATTTGATTAGTCAGGGATTTTCTGGAATTTTGTCCAAGGACTTCAGCTTTGACATCTAATGCTCCTCGTTTTCTTTCCGTTCCTGCACTTGGACTCGTAATTCTGTCAAATGTTTGAATTCTGTGAACTACTTGAGTTTTGACCAACTGTTTCCTCTGGCACTATTTCTCTCTCGGATCTGAAGTTTCCGAGTTTAAGGGTTTGAATCGATCTGTGATCCTGTGGAAAACTGCTGGGGGTATCCAGAAATTTGAGATGATTTTAGCTGATAAATCTTTGAATTCATGAATTTTGGTCAAGAGATCCCATTTGTCGTATTTTCCAGATTCTATCACAAGATAACATCAGCAAGTTTTTAAGTGAATGAAGACGATTTGCCAAGTCTTTAGTTCTCATTACTCGGCTCACTGCTAAGCCATTTCAAAAATCAAATGCAGGTTCTGATAGGATCCAATGACTGGGAAGACTTCAGAAACGGAAAAGACGGTGCCACAAGATACAGAGTCCAGAATCTGCCCTGCAAATCCTGTCCGGGTTTATACGAGCTCGGTGTAGGGATCATCGGCCATGACCAGGCCCGGCAAGTTGACTCACACGATGTCCTCGTGGCCTATCTAGGGCAAGCCGAGAGTGTCAGATCCCGGCTCCAGTGTTATGGAAGATCAGGTGCCCATTTGAAAAATGTTAACCTCACATGCGATAACAATGGCTGTGAACTCGATGAATCTCTGGATAGGAAGGCTGTGACCGCAGGTTTGTTTGAAGATATATTCTCGAAAGGTGGCTCCATTCTATACAGATGGGCACCGGTAAGTAAGACTTTTGATTTGTTTGTGTGTATGTATATGTATATGAATTTCATCTAGTTGTGAAGTTTGAAACTTTCTATCTGTTGTGAAAATATTGTCAGATGAAATCGAAGAGGGAAGCCGAGGTAAAAGAGGTACTGCTTCTGGGAACATTTGATTATGCGTGGAACAAAGGTAGTAATGGGGAACGTCGCCATCAAGACTTGCTCGAAAAACTTGGCCACCATAAGTTTATGAGCAAAAGAACCGAACGTTTTCCTTGGATGCATGTATTTTCTTTCGCCAAGGATCATGTCGGTGTCAAAATTAAAGGAGAGAAGCATATTCTTGCCGAGGAGAGAGAGCTGAAAGGTGACACAGAAAAGGAGAAGAAGAGTAGTAATCTTCTCTCTGGAATACTTAAACTCAGCCGGAACAGACCTCAGCCGGTTTCAGACACAAGTGATAACGTTGTTGGTGCTGATTCTGGTCCTGTTTGTGGAGTCATACTGAAAGATGGTACTTCTTGCACTAAAACTCCTGTCAAAGGAAGAAAGAGATGCACAGAGCATAAAGGAGAACGAATTTGCCGGGTTTCCCCCAAACCCTCTCCCGAAAAACATAAAATGTGTGAGGTTTCACCCGGGAAAAATCATCAAGAGTCTGATATCACATGCGGGGTGATACTTGTCGATGGGGAAACCTGCAGTAACAGACCTGTTTCAGGAAGAAAACGATGTGAATCCCACAAGGGCATGAGGATCAATGCCTTTCTGTTCTTGTTGAACCATGCAGAGCGCGAAAAGAACATCTTGGACCAGAAATCCAGCCCGGGAAAGTGTTCGGAGTTGAACCAGAAGAGTGACTCTCTCTTCTGCGAAGCGATAACGAAGAGTGGCTCGCCTTGCACAAGAAGTCCCTCTAAGGGAAGCAGAAGGTGTTGGCAGCACAAAGAGAGAATGTCAAAGGACGAAACTTCGCCGGAAAATATTTCTCCGGCGGGCGTAAATCAGGTAACTTGCGGCGTTAAGTTATATGATGGTTCGGTGTGCGAGGGATCTCCGGTTAAGGGACGGAAGAGATGTGAGCTGCACAAGGGGATGAGAATAACCTCTTGATGACTGACTGACTGCATTTGGTCAGAGTTTAGTTTCGGTTTTCTGTACCAAACCGGTTAAGAACCGCAAGATTGATTGGTTTGTTTAACAAAACCGGATTTTTACTTTGTTTTGTAACTGTCTAGGTTGTATTTTTTTTTTGTCTGTAATAAATTAATTGAGATTCTACTAAAAAGGGCAAAGAAAATTTGACAAAAACATCGTCGCGGATTCCAATGGGCCTAGAGATTGTTGGCCCAATAATTTAAGAAAAAGCTTGAAAGAACTAATGGGCCCATATAACAGAGCTAGGGTTTTTATCATCCTCAACTGTGTTCATATATAAACCTCACCATCCACTCCACCGTAGCCTTTGTCTCTCGGCGTTCCTCGAGTCGAAGGTAATCTCAGTCTGTCTCTGTAGCTCCTCCTGCTTTCGATTCTCTTTTGGCGTTTCGGTTTTTGCCTATCAATGGCGTGTTTGATCTTCGAGAAAATCTTAGATGGAGATGTAAGTTGTTGCTCATTCGCCTTCCTTCGAATCCCGGCGGCTGAATGAAGGAATAAGCAAACGCTGTTTGCGTTATAGTTAATCACTGTGGTAAGATCTACGGAGAATGACTTATTTGGCGTGAATAAACGCGCAGGTACAGTTGAAGAGGGAGGAGACAGAAAGGGACAGAGAAGATGTCGGAGAAGACGAAGGGAAGAAAGGAGGAGGTGGTCACCAGAGAGTACACCGTGAATCTCCACAAACGCTTACATGGCTGGTGAGTTCCTGTTTCTTCTTTCCTCAGTCATTTTGCATTAGCTCCTCGGTTTCGCTATCAATGGCTCGATGTGGGTATAGTCTGGTTTTTGGTAGGGGTGGACATTTCATTTCGGTTACGCCAAATCTGATCCGAACTGAATACCACTTGATGGTACCCTAGAAAATAAAGAATGGATATGATTCTTGAAAACCATGAACCGAATGTAAAACGACAGAAAAATCTAGAATTTCTTTAGAATATCATAATTTATATAAATAAAAACCGAATTGGAGTTGAACCGAGACGAGTTCAATATAAAGACTGAATGGATAAACCGAAATAAATGAAACTGAACCAAACCCTGAAATGACCATCCCTAGTTTTTGGAGTTCCTGTTGTTGGAATCCTTGTTGCATTAGTTCCTCCGTCTTGTTTTGTCCATGTTGCATTTGCTATTGTTGTAAATGCACGAGGTAGTAGGGATATAAATGTAATTTTATTCCTATAGGATAGTTCAGAAAAAGCTAAACTCAAACCCTGACTCGAGTTTCTGACCTCGTTGCACCTGTTTTCCCTCGCGTTCGTGGCGAGTACCCATGGCCCGAGTGTTTGTGGGATCGGGTACCTTCAGGTCTCGGGTAAAAATGTCCACTCTACTACGTAGAATGTTGTGTAATTGTCGTATTGATGCACTCAAATCTTTTTTCAGTTTCTTTTTGTTGTTGTTGTAGTTTAGTCTGGTACTTGCTTTGATCATCTGTTTGTTTCTCTTTGTTGAATGTGGGATCTCATCATCACTGTATATTCGTTTGATTAATAATATGAGAGTTTTGAATTGCGCAGCACATTCAAGAAGAAGGCTCCGAATGCGATAAAGGAGATTAGGAAGTTTGCAGAAAAAGCGATGGGGACAAAGGACGTGAGGGTGGACGTGAAGCTTAACAAACAGATATGGAGCAGAGGCATCCGAAGTGTCCCTCGGAGGATCCGTGTCCGCATCGCCCGTAAAAGGAACGACGACGAAGATGCAAAGGACGAGTTCTACTCCCTCGTCACCGTTGCCGAAATCCCCCCTGAAGGTCTCAGCGGCCTCGGCACCAAGGTCATCGACGAGGACGAGTGAATCAGAAAAGTTGTAAGCTTGAAAGTCTTTGGTTTTTGTTGCGTCATCAAAGTCTCGTCCTCTGTTTTTACGCCGTAGTGACTTTCGTACGAAGTTATTCGAGTGAAGATTCTGTTTAATCTTTATGTGCTGCAGATTTTGATAAGAATCCTTTATTGTCCGGTTGAAAATTTAACAAAATCTGGTTCTTCCAAAAAAGTGTTTGTCTACCTTGGTACATTTGGTTAGGTGATATGAAAAATTGCTACACCTTAATCTACCGAGCTTTATAAGCGTACATGTAATTTCGAAGTTTTGTCACTTCCTCGGATGACTCCTCGAGTACACGGTCCACGTAAAGGCAGATTCCAGCTCCCCTGCATATTTTCATTTCCAGACCAATGGGGTATTAAGCAAGGTTTATGTATACAGAGAGAGAGAGAGAGAGAGAGAGAGAGAGAGAGATGAAGAGATGATGATGCCACCACCACAACATATGGTCATATGCACTTACCCGAGTGGACCAAACGGAAGCCACATAACGTCCCACCGGAACTTTGGAAGCCTATAAGGACGAGAATCATGAAATGAGATGCAGAGCAATGATGAAAATATATCAGAGGAAAAGAATCTTATTGTTCTATGCGTTCATACGAATTTGTAGATAAGATAAAGATCCAGGTTTAAAGTAATAACAACTGATCAGCATAAATTCGAGTGCGGCTTTAGTTATACCACAGGAATACATTATATTTCAATTCTGAAGTCAATTACCACAATAAATATGTTGAAACTAACAATTGTCGAGCTTTCTTCTATACCTACCAATGGTAATCCAATCCATGGAGGTAGATTAGAGATAAATTAATAACTGAAAACGATGAAATTCCGATGTACCTCAGCATGTAATAAAGCCAAAAGATTGCCAATGCAGAGCCAGCAGCACAAGAGTACCAGTACCACCGTCTGTGATCATTCTTGTTGTCCACTAGCCCGACAATTGAGAGAGAGCAAGCAAAGATAGCCATCCACTCTAACATATGAACCAACAAGTAAGTCAAAGTAAGCAACTACATGATCAAAAGTAAAGAAAGAGAACAAGGAAAACAAATTGCGATTCATGAAAAACATAGGACTAAATGGATAATCAAGAACCACATGCCCAAATTTAAGTTTTCTGATGGCAGCACGTTCAACACGGTGGTACATAGCTTAATAACTAGCAGGCCAGAAAATTAGCAATTAAGTAATTGAGCAACTCATCCTCAAAAAATGTTCAGTAGATGCCTGAGATCTATAAGCACACCATTCACTTTCTCTCCATCTACAATATTCTTTACTTGATTTAATTTCCTATGGAAGGTTGTACCTATTCCCTACAACCAAAAGATTGCCTGTACAAACATCACTGCATTGCATGAGATCAATGTTCTTATAGAATGACTATATGGTTGAAGTAGAAAAGATAACAAAAAATCTTATCATGCTCTCTAAGTATTGGCTCTAACATTATCACCGATTAATTACGAAAAAAATAAAGCATCACAGGCTAAAGGGCACAAAGGTACAACAAACCAGCTGAAATGACCATCCATGACTTGAGATCCTCCATGAAGTAGGCATGATACCGCTGCTCACAAAGAAATGATAACACCAAAGAACCCATGAAATATCAATCGTGTGTATGTGTGTGTGTATATATAGCGAGAGAGAGAGAGTACAAGTACAATAACATATGTTCATACAATCAAGACGGTTTTGAACATGTAGGGATACAGACACATGTTTGCATAAATCTCCGAAGTTTCCATTTTTTTCTTCGTATCAAATCAAACAAATAAGGTTGCCGAGTTTTCAGAAACCATCTCGGAACAAGAAAACCAAATCGATATGCTATTAAGATTAAAGAACGAACGAAACGAATGACAGGAGGAGAGATACACCATACCAGTTCCCAAGGAGATACGAACTGCTGAAAAATGGAGTAGAAGAGGAAAACACAAAAGAGAAGCAGAAGAATCGAAAATACGCCCTACAGAACATCGGTAAACCGCAAGACATAATTCAGACGACGACATTAAAGTCTTAAATCGCGTAAAAATTAGCAATTTCGTGCATCGGTCACACCCTCCATTGCCGACTTTGCTGAGCTTGAGCTTTCTCCAGTGACCGGACAAACTCCTCTTGTTCTGCGAAACGAAAAAACTCGAAAGATTGCTATGAACTACAAATGAACTATACAAATTTCTCCGAAAATTCTCGCAAGGAAAGATGATAGAGGAAGACCTTGAGTATCGATTGGGCGGGAATCGACATCGTCCCGAGTAGGAAGAACAAACTCTTCATCATCTTCGCGGCGAGATCGCCGCAATTTTCTCGCCAACCTCTTCATAGCTTTTGCTTTTCGGATTCAAAATGACGAAGGTGACCGAGACAAGTCTCCGTCTCAGATCGAAGCGAAAGGAAGAAAATGCTGTACAGATTACTAAACGCAGCGTTTTATCACCCGGAATTCTTAAACGACGTCCGGTTTTTGTTCCCACCATTTCACAAGCCGGTCCGGTTTTCATATAACCAGCATTGCTGCTTAACCAGTACCTCTCTTCTCTCATCCGGTTCAATTTCACCCGAGAAATGATTAGATTTGGGTTAATTTTCAGATCCGAAATGTTTCAGACTTAGATTAATTCGGACATCGAGTTTGGTTGGATTTGGTACAATAGACTTCGGGTTGGTTTAAAAATCCGATTTTATTTTTTTAAACAAATGATTAAAAAAACTTAAACCAAATGAAAAAAAAACCCTAAAAACGCTGTTATTTCCGCTAACGAAGTCCCATTACTACTCACTCTCCTCTCCCTCGCTCTCTCTCCCGCTTTTTTCCATCTTTTCTCTCTATCTCGTCTCTATCCAGAGTTAGGGTTTGCTAATCTCCTTCTCCGTCGCTTAGATCTCCGTCTCTGCTCCTCGGATCGGTATTCTCCTCTGGGTATGCTTTCTATTGCTGCTTTTCTCCGTTTTCCGGTTATTCTCCGGCTCCATTTTGGATAATATCTCCAATTAGTTGCAGAACTCGGTTTTTGGGTGGTTCGGCAAAGATTTTGTTTGGACGGGTGAGCTGAGAGAGGCATCTAAACTATATCCCTAGAGAAGTTTTCATACTATAGCTTCACAAGTTCCTGAAACACAGTTTTTGTTTGCTTGGTAATGTCGTTCCGGTCTTATGAATGTTTGTAGACCGTTGGAAAGTTAGCTTATCGTTTTATATTTCTAGAATTTGGATGTATGAAATAGGCAATGATGCTTTATTTTTCACAATGCGTGCATTCCATGTGTCTGCTGTTTTCTGTTTTTTTCTCCTTTCGTTGCTTATTGACTTTGTTGCAATGATCTCTGATCGTACCAAAGTTCATTTTCATATGTCAATCTTATCTGTCTGATAGGACCAAAGTTTCAATCCTTACGAGTTTTTTCGAATTTTGTTTAGTTTGGTTTGTGGGTTCTTGAGCAATGGAGCTTAGCGATGATGGATCTCTTGAACAAGAAGTTGATGGTGAAGAGGTACGTGGTAAGAAACGGACTAGGATGAGCATTATTTCCAGGGCAAGGTCCAGGTCTGAAAGGATAGATAATATGCTTATTGGTCATGATGGAAAATTAAGAGAAAAGAAGATTGATCAGATGGTCTGGAGAGAAAAAGTGGCTAAGATGTTAATTGCGAATGAACTCCCTTCCTGCTTTGTTGAGAATCTGATGTTTAAGGAGATGATGCTTTATGCCAACCCTGACCTCAAAATGATTTCTAGAAACACCGTTGCTACTGATGTTATGAAGATCTACCATGCTGAGAAAGAGAAATTAAAATCTGAGTTAGGAAAAGTTCGTAGTAGGATATGCTTAACCTCTGATCTTTGGACGACTATTACTCATGAAGGTTATATTTGTGTGACGGCACATTATATTGATGAGGATTGGAGAATGCATAGTAAGATCATATCATTTTGCTCTATTACTTCTCCACACACGGGAATGGAAACATGTAGAAAAATACTTGATTGTCTGAGAGAATGGGGCATCGAGAGAAAGATCTTTTCTCTCACTTTAGATAATGGTTCAAGCAACGATTGTATGCAAGATATCTTGAAGTGTCAACTTAATAGGCAAAACGGATTGGTTTGTAATGGTGAGTTTTTTCACGTGAGATGTAGCGCGCATATCTTGAATCTCATGGTGCAAGATAGTTTGAACGTAATTGGTGATACTTTGGAGAAGATTAGAGAAAGTGTGGAATATGTTAGAGGTTCTGAGTCGAGCATGAAAGATTTCAGATATTGTGTTGACCAACTTGGTGGTGATAGCGGATCTTCTTTGTCTATGGATTTGTTCACACGTTGGAATTCTACTTATGAGATGCTTGATAACGCACTCAAGTTTCGATATGTTTTCACTTGTCTTGAGATGATGGATGAGAATTACAAGTGTTGTCCGTCTAATCAAGAGTGGTCTAGAGTAGAAAAAATACGCAACTTCCTGAAGCCGTTTGATGAAATTATTACATTGATGTCTGGGTCTTATTATTCGACTTCCAACGTGTACTTCGTGAAAGTTTGGAAGATCAAGTTGCTGTTGAAAGAATATGGGCGGAGTGAAGATGATGTTATTAAGAGTATGGCTGAAAGGATGCAATTGAAATTTGACAAGTATTGGAATGAATATAGTATCCTTCTTGCCATGGGAGTTATGCTTGACCCAAGGATGAAGTTGAAGGGTTTGAAGTATTGTTATGATCAAATCGATAAAAATACGAGTGAATTTAAGGTGGACAAGGTGAAGAGAAAGATGTATTTTCTCTTTGAAGAATATAAAACTAATTTCGCGGTGTCGACTTCAAGAAGTTCAACTCCATCAAATGTGACTCTTTTCGAAGTAAGTTTTGGTCATTTTCTTCATTTTGTTATTCTTTTTCCACTAATGGTTTCTTTCTATTATAACCTTTTTCAATCTTTGGTATTATATTATAGGATTTATATGGATGTGATGATATTGATTCTTGTGACGATGGATCGGGATCGGCTTTAGATAGATATTTGTTTGATCGTAAGATGAACATAAAAGCCAATAAGGATATGGACATCTTACAGTATTGGAAGGCTAATACCGAACTATACGGTGTTGAATTGGCTCTTATGGCATCAGACGTCCTTTGTATTCCTTTCACTACCGTTGCCTCGGAGTCATCTTTTAGTATCGGTTCGCGGGTGTTGAACAAATATAAAAGCTGTCTTTTGACTTCAGACCTTCAAGCTTCACTCTGCGTTCGCTCTTGGATGTTTGGTTTTAAAGAATCTGGTAAGTTTATGTTTTCATAACATTAACTTGATTGAGATTTAGTAATGTAGATGTTATGTTTAACATATTTTGGTTTTTGTAATTGATGTATAGGTTCTGGATTTGGTGGCGAGGAATCTGCAGATGATTTTCTAGCTACTTCGTAGGAACTTTTCCTACGGTGTTGGAGCCTACGTGGAATCAATCTACGATGGGAATAGAGGAATTTTTATGTGTTTTACTAGTTTCTAAATGTTAGACCTTTGCAGTTTTCTTTTGGAAAAAATAGTTTGGGTCGGACCGAACATGAACTCGAAACCCTCGGAGCGATCGAAATCCTGGGGGCGATTGTGGACTCAAACCGATTCAGGTTAGGACAGCTCGTATGACACCTCTGCTTTTGACAATACCCTTGTTATATGGAATGCAATCCAATGGAAATTGATTTTCTCATCGGACCGCTTTTTAACTACTCAATCAAAAACCGGATCTATGTATTAGAACCAAACCGGTTCTGAATGGTTGATTACAAATGTAATATTGACCTGTAAAACACAAGCATTCACAAGGGAGAAGAGGCCAGAACATGAAAGAATGAACAAAGGGCATAAAATTAGAGTTGGTAATTAAATCCCAAAGGGCTCAACAAACATAGTAAAGTATTGAAAAATCAAAACATGAAAAATGTATGGAATCAAAGATCTGCTCGACCAGGATACCGTGGGAAAGGGATAACATCTCTGATGTTATCGATACCCGTCGCGAAAAGGATCATCCTTTCGAACCCGAGTCCAAACCCGCTGTGTTTGACAGTTCCAAAGCGACGGAGATCGAGGTACCACTCATATGGCTCCATGGGCAGACCCATCTCTGCTATCCTGTTATGCATGACCAAACCCGAGTTCGTTCCATGAGCCACACTTATATACGCGATAGACGAACCGTATTGGAGATTATCGGATATCGGGATTTGGTTCACATACCTCTCCGTGATGACCTCATACCGCTCT